GCTCCATCCTCCCCCCCCCCGTGACCCTCCCCCCATCATGGGTCGAGGGGCTGCTCTCCGGTCCCCGCTGGGCCCTTTAGGCCGAACACGCCAAGTTCCCATCGCTGCACCCTGAAAGTCCTGCAACTGTCTCTGGCTGCTCCTCCCGGGGCCCCTTCTGGTTGCTCTGGAGTGCGGGGGCTTCAAAGGCCCCCCGGATCTGTGGGTCCCCACCCTCCGTAGCCGACTGCAGAGACGGTCAGAGTCGAGCGAGGTTTAGCAACTGGAACGGGAAGGAGCAGCGAGCCAGGCTTAAGCAGGGAGATACACGGAAGAGGGGTTGGCACGCCTTCCCTGCGCTAATGGAGTCTTACAATAAGCTTGTGAGAAGCACCACCGTGTGTGTGCGTGTGTGCGGTGTGTTGGTTCAGAGCCCTGAAGCTGCCTGGGCTTCTCGGCAACGCTGAGTCTCTGTTGGGGATCGGCCCCCTCCGTGCCAGCGTGGACGAGGGTGGAATTCAAAGCTGATTCCCCAGAGGCTTCTGCAGCCTGGCAGGTTTGAGCAGGCCGCCCGGCGGAGCCAAGCGGTGCCCTGCCAGCCTTGCTTGCATGATGCCCAGGTTTGGCTGTGGGCAGGAGTCGCAGTGACGCCGTTTCCTTCTCTTTCTCCAGTGCCGATGCTGCAACATGGCCAATGAGAACCACGGCAGCTCCAGGGAGGAGGCTGCCCTCATGAGTCACTCTCCCAGCACCTCCCACCAGGGCCAGCCGAGCTCCCCCAAACCCGCCCGTCTGGTGCAGGATCTGCCAGGTACTCCTTGGCCACGGAGGCGGCTGTGGGAAACTGCCGACACGGGTGGGGGGGGGGGGGCTCCAACACCAGACACCACTCCACCCCGCCATGACCCTGGGTGCTGTTGCCTCCCCCACAGATGAGCTGGTGCAGGCGGGCTGGGAGAAGTGCTGGAGTAAGCGAGAGAACCGCCCGTACTACTTCAACCGCTTCACCAACCAGTCGCTCTGGGAGATGCCGCTGCTGGGGCAGCATGACGTCATCGTGAGTGGCTGGCTTGGCTGCTCCGGGCACGGCCTCCCNGGTGCTAACGGTTCTCTCTTTGGGCTTCCTAGTCGGACCCTCTGGGTCTGAATGCCGCCCCAGGGCCTGCCGAAGGGGGAGCCGGTGAAGCGGCCGCTGCCGAAAGCAACTCATGCAAACGGAGGCTGTCTGAGGAGGGTCAGCCCAGCGGCAATCTTGCGAAAAAGCCCAAGGTAGGGAGCCACACACACACACACACTCTTGGGCCCAGGACAGTGGCTTGGGAGGGCAGAGCCTGGAGGAGTTGAAGGCTGGGGAGAAGAGAAGAGCAGGAAAAGCTGGCCAAGCAACGGTCAGAGATAAGAGCAAGCAGAAGGTCAAGTCCCTGCCTTGACCCACTCCAGTTCTCTTTGAAGGGAGCCCCACTCAGAGCTGCTAGATGCCGCTAATTTTGTTTATTTCTGCTAAAAGCATCCCAGTTAAAATAAGGCCTACTAAACGACAAAAAATGTAAAATATATTACGTATTTCAGAGGATTAAAATACGTACAGGTTTAAACAGATCTTGCCCAGAAACTGGCAACATTAATTGTGTCCTGTCGCGCTGGCATGAGGTGGTGCTGATCAGGACACCACGGATAGGTATACATAATGACATCACAGTGGCAAAGGGCAGAAGCCGCTGGAGCGCCCCCTTTGTTCAGAGTGTCTCTGGGTCTTGTCCCTGTGCGCAGTCTGTTGAACAATTCCCCCCCCCCCAATTCTGCCTCTGTCATTTGCAATAAAAGTGAGCATTCGTAACTGCTAATCTGCCTCCGAGGGCTGGCGTGGGCTGTCGAGACAGGGGAGCAGATAGGGCCCTAGGCTGGAGTCTGCTTGTGCCCTGGAGGACTCTGGGCTCTACCAACATCCCTGGGAACCTCCTCCTCCTCGGTCTCTGGTTTGTCCCTTTTTCCCCCTGGAGGGTTCAGGCGTTCCCAGCAGCCGGTGGACGGGTCTCTCGGCCTCCGCTCTGCAGCTGGCGGGCGTGCCGAGGGAGGGGCCGGTTCTCGCTCTTTTGTGAGCCTGTTGGTAGCTCTGCTGTTTCTCCCCAAGGTAACGTGGCATTGCTCACTTTCAGATGGAGGTACCGGCAAACCCCACAGCTCAGCCAGCCCCAAACATTTCCAGCACTCCCGGGACGCCACTGTTGAAGGTGTGGGGCGTCTCTCCCGAAGAGAGGCAGGCGGCTCTCTTGCGACCAACGGAGTGAGTCAGACTTGGGGATGTGAATCTCGGCCACTTTCTGGGCAGGAGGAGAAGGATAAGCTCGTAATAAGCAACATACACATAGTTCTGGGCACTTTTCCTTAGAAAAATTGACGGTTTTTCGTTCTCTCTCGTCCTGTCCTGCTTCTTGTAAAAGGAAAAGTCTGGTATTTTCTTTCTAACAATTGTCTGGCTTCAAAAGTTTAGCTTTTAAAATTTGCATTGTCTGCAGAGGACCTAAGTCTACCGTCTTTCTCGTGAGCGATCTTTTGAACTTATTTATTTTTTACTTAAGCAATTTATAGAACATCTCCTCTCTAAGCAGGGTTGAGCAGAAGATTTAAACCAAAAGCGGTGAACAATAACATGCACAGCGGGTGTGTCCAACCTTGGCAACTTTAAGACCGAGCTATGCCAACTGGGGAATTCTGAAGTCTGCAGGACTGGCAATTGCCAAGGTTCGACGCCCCGATTTGCAGGATTAATAATGTAATATATGCCTGAGGTTTAAAAACCATTCTAATTAAAAACAACAATTAAATGAATCAACAAAGGGATTATTGTATTTTAAGAGAAGGTGATATGCTACTAAAATACTAAAGGGTTTGTGTTTCTCGGGATGAAGAGGAAAGTCATTTATCTTTACTATATTTTTTCTATCTTTTTCTATTTTACCATTTTTATATTTTTCTATATTTCTTTATTGTATTCTATCCTATCTTTTTCTATTTTCTGTTTTTCTTTTCTACACAGTCTATTTTTTTCTTATAGTTTATATAAGTCTTTATTTTTCCTTTTTTTGTTCGTGTTAGTTTTTTATTGTTGTACTTGTAATTTTTAATAAAATTACGATTAAAAAAAACCCCTAATCAGATCCACCGACAGGGGCTCACCGAGCCTTTGGGCCAAGTGCCCGTGAACTGCCCGTCTTCATTGCCTCAAGAAGGGCCCTCGGGAGCTCCAAGGGGAGGGTTAGGGTCTTCGGCAGGGCAGGCCCTGCAGCGGAGAGCGAGTCTAATCCCTGGCGGTCACGAAAACCTTCTGTCTGCTTATTGTTTCAAACCTCATTCTTTCCTCAAAAATGTTTGAATTTTGCAGTTCTGCACGCTCCCCCTCAGTTCAAACATTCTTGCTTTTGAGATTGTAATTGCAATCCTGGAATCTGGTTTAAGGCTTCAGCCCAGAGAGGCATCCCGGCCTCTGATGGGCAGCATTTCTGGCCTAATGGATGGAACTCAGCGGAAGTGCTTTCTCTGGTAGCCAGCTGGGGTAGTGGTTAAGGCACCTGGGTAGAAGCTGTGAGCTCTGGTCCCGCCAGTGTGGCGGCTTGGGCCTCTCTCACAGCCAAGGGCAGCCGCTTCTGAAAGACGTTGCCAAGAAAACTGCAGGGACTTGTCTGCGGAGTCATCGGGAACCAGGGACGATGACTCAAAAGCACAAAAGAAAGAAAAAGGCCCAAGTTTAATAAAGACTCCTCCAGCATAAAGGAATAGGCGGTGTTCCAGCCCAGCCCGTGGTTGGCCTGGAAGGGCAGACCGAGGGCATCCTTGCTGTAGTTAATGTTAATGTTAATTTAATTTGTATACCGCCCTTCTCCCATAGGACTCAGGGCGGTTCACAGCATATTAAAAACAAATACTATACACAAAATACAAAAATACAGAAATACAAAAATATAAACCCCAATAAAAGCCGAATTAAAAACCAAATATTGCCAGCTTCCATGAACTTCCATGGCCCGTGACCCGTGAAGCTGAGCAACGCAGCTCAGAGTTTATGTGACGTTTACTAGAAGACGGGCCTGGTTTCCCCTGGCACTTTTCTGGGCTTGTGACGTGAGAGCGGGCGGGGCGAGCTGCTGGAAGCCCCAGCTGCGTAATGGTTGCTGCAAGTGGGTTTCCTTCGGCAGAGTCTACTGGGACCTGGATATTCAGACCAATGCCGTGATCAAGCAGCGGGCCCCGTCTGAAGTGCTGCCCCCTCACCCGGATGTGGAGCTGCTCCGGTCCCAGTTGATGCTGAAGCTGCGGCAGCATTACCGGGAGCTCTGCCAGCAGCGGGAGGGTAACGTCTCCCCCTCCCGTTGACTGCCGGGTGGGCCTTGGGGAAGGGGGCCTCGCGGCTGAGCCCGGCTGTCCCTCTCTGGCTCTTCCCTCAGGAATTGATCCTCCCCGGGAGTCCTTCAACCGCTGGATGCTGGAGCGAAAAGTGGTGGACAAGGGCTCAGACCCTTTGCTGCCCAGCAGCTGCGAGCCCATCGTGTCTCCCTCCATGTTCCGAGAAATCATGAATGACATTCCCATCAGGTATGGCGGGAAAGAGGCAACGGGTGCGAGGGACTCCTTATAAAGCTGCCCCCGACGCCCCCCACCCGGAGCCCAACCTTCAGCCCTCCCCCTCTTCTGCCTCCCCCCGCAGATTGTCCCGAATCAAGTTCCGAGAAGAAGCCAAGCGGTTGCTTTTCAAATATGCCGAAGCTGCCAAGCGGCTGATTGAATCCAGGTAGGGGCAAACTCCGCTATTTTAATGGGTGGAACCCTGTTCTTCCCAGAGGGCAATCCAAGAGGGGAGGGAGGTGGGCATAGGGAAGGAGGGGACGCCAGCTGCCAGAGAAATGGCCAGAGGCACCAGGACCAGCCTCTCCAGATGTTGGTTGAATCGGCTTCTTGACCTTCAGAGTGTGGGCCCAGGGTCCGCAGGTGTGATGGAGTGTGGCCTGGATTCCCAGGAGGGAGGGGCTGCTTTCCAAAGGAGCAAGAGACGACTCAGCCCAGATAGTCTGTGTGGGAGAAAGAGGGCGAAGACGGCTCCTCCCTGATAATTCCCAGAGTGCGTGCTTCCCGTCAGTAGTCGTCTGCTTCAGTCTGGCAAGATTCTGTCTGTAGGTACGGAGCAACAAAGAGATCTGCCTGGAAGAATCACCGTGTGTCCTTCTTGGTTTTTGGAGCCTGACAAGCGGGTCTTTCTCTCGGTGTGCAGGAGCGCCTCTCCAGACAGCCGGAAGGTGGTGAAGTGGAACGTAGAAGACACCTTCAGCTGGCTGCGACGGGATCGCTCGGCCTCCAAGGAGGACTACATGGTGGGTTGGCCTCTTTCCCCAGGGAGGCGGTTGAGGTTGAGGCGGGGGCTGGGCCGCTTCGGAGCCCTGCTTTTACGGGCAGGGGGTCCCGGGCTGTATTTGGCGTAGGTCCTCTGGGTGTGTGGACCTAGGGGGGCACGGAGGCAAAGTGGTTAGACCGTTAAAGGTCTACAGCTTAGCAGTTAGAGACCCGAGTGCTATTGTCATGGTTCCGACAGATGAAACTTTAAAAGAACTTAGACGCATTGTTTACCTTAAAGAATCTTTTATTCAAGTAGCACAATATCGGCACTGCATAATCGAAGCCAAAAACTGAATTCCCCTCCCCTGAGCACCTAGTATCAAAGCACAATTCCCTCCTCCAGTTAACAGTCATAAATCACATTCCCCAATTGGCTTGAAGCCAGGCTTTCTTCCCAGCTCTCCAGCCCCCGAATTCCTTATCAGCTCTGGGCTCAGTAACCTTGATTCTCAGGCTAGGTTTAGTGTTGTTATGTCTAGCTGGACTCTCGTTCATATCTCCCCCCCTCCCAGCATCATCTAACTCTAAAAGTGAAAGGGAAAAAGATGGCTCCGTTTCCATCTGTTGTCAATGCAAAACATCTGATGTTAACAGCGTTGACAACCGTAGGCGGAACGAGCGCCTGTCACTTGTCCCAGCGCCTGCCATCCTAGCAGTTCAAAAGCATGCAAATGCGAGCTGTGTGCTGCAGCGTGGTGTAATGCTGGCCACATGATAGCGGAAACATTTCTGGACATTTCTGGCTCTTTGGCTTAGCAAGCAGAGATGGCCCCGCCCCCTAAAGCCGGTCACAACTAGCAGGGTAAAACTTGCGGGAACACCTTTACCTCTAAGCACAGACTTCTTCTTAACCTGCTGATTTATTGTCCAGGTGTGAAATACCTGCCAAGAGAACTTAATCTTTGGGCAAAGGGGGTAGAATAGGCCGTGCCTTATTTCTCCCCCTCCTTCTGGGCCAGTAAGAATCACCATGAGACGCCTGTCGGATATCTCGGAAGCTGCTGTTTCAAAGAATACCTCCGCGACGTCTTCGCACGATGGCTTGTCCCTCTCTCCGAGGGGGTCTTGCATCCTTACCAGTCGTAGAACGGAGCTTTCTCTCTCGGGTCTCCGGCTAATGTTTAGACACACTTGAGCCAGTTTTACTTAAGTCCCGTCTGCCCTGGGCTCAGCTGGGTGACAGGCTAGAAAATAGACTGATCCTGGGGTCCTCTTCAGCGGTTGACACTTGTTGGGTGAGCTTTCTCGCACACACACACACACACACACACACACACACACAGAGAGAGACACACACAGTCCCAGGAGAGGAGCATCCCCAGAGCAGGACCTCTGCCCTGGGAAGTCCCTGAGGGCCTCGGCTTCTTCCTCCTGCGTGTAGGACCGGCTGGAGCACCTGCGCAAGCAGTGTGGCCCCCACGTCTCTGCGGCCGCCAAGGACTCGGTGGAGGGCATCTGCAGCAAGATCTACCACATCTCCCTGGAGTACGTCAAGCGCATCCGCGAGAAGCACCTGGCCATCCTCAAGGAGCACAACATCTCCGGTAGCTGCAAGGGGGGACGGCTGGGGGCCGAGGCGGGGCAGACGGACTCCTCCGTTCCGGTTGGGGTAGGCTCTTTGTCAGGGAGGGGGGCGCAGGATCCTTGGGACTAACTTCCCATCATCCCCAGCCGAGGTGGAGCCTCCCGACGCCCAGGACCGCCTCGTTTACTGCTACCCCCTGCGCCTGGCCGTCCCGTCGCCCGCGCTGCCCAGCATGGAGATGCACGTGGAGAACAGCCAGGTCTGCGTGCGCTACAAGGGCGAGGTGGTGAAAGTCAGCCGCAGCTACTTCAGCAAGCTGGTGCGTGGCGTTTGGGAGCAGGGAGGGAGGGAGGACGGGGGGGCGGCTTTGAGGCACGGCCCGAGAGGGTGGAGGGGGGGAAGCCTTGTCCCCCCCCCTTGGGTGCCCTTGCAGAGCGCCTCTCTCCTTCGCAGTGGCTGCTTTATCGCTACAGCTGCATCGACGACGCCAGCTTCGAGCACTTCCTGCCCAGGGTGTGGTGCGTCCTCCGCAGGTACCAGGTACGGCCGTCCGGCTGGGCTGGGCTGGGCTGGGCTGAGTTGGGGGGTGGGTGAGGGGGCCGAGGAGTTCGCCCAGGAGGGCCAGGCTCTGCAGCCGGCCCTGCTTTTCCCAGAGGGCTTCTGTCCGTCCTCCCTCCCCAGATGATGTTCGGCATTGGGCTCCACGAGGGCACCGGCCTGCAGGGGGCGCTCCCGGTGCACGTCTTTGAGGCCCTCCACAAGCACTTCGGGGTGAGCTTTGAGTGCTTCGCCTCCCCCTTGAACTGCTACTTCAAGCAATACTGCTCGGCCTTCCTCGACACGGACGGCTACTTCGGCTCCAGAGGGTGAGTGCCCGCCTGCCGCCCCGCTGGCCTGCCCAGGGGGGCTCGGCCGGCAGGAGGAAGACTGTGGGGGGGAGGGGGAGGGGGGCAGGGCCTGCTGGGCCAGGCCAGGGAAGGGCCGGGCTGGGCTCGGCTACCACCTCCTCCTCCTTCTCCTCCTCCTTCCCCTCAGCCCTTGCCTGGACTTCTTCCCCATCAGCGGCTCCTTCCAGGCCAACCCCCCCTTCTGCGAGGAGCTGATGGACGTCATGGTGACCCACTTCGAGGTAAGGCCTTGGCCCCGCCCCCTCTGCGGCCCCTCCCCCGGGGAGGCCGGGTGGGGGGGGAGACGCAGCTCAGCCCACCCGCCTCTCTCCCGTGTGTGTGCCGTAGAAACTGCTGGAGGGGTCCAGCGAGCCCCTCTCCTTCATCGTCTTCATCCCGGAGTGGCGGGACCCCCCCCCAACCTCCCTGACCCGCATGGAGCAGAGTCGCTTCAAGCGGCAGCAGCTCGTCCTGCCGGCCTTCGACCACAAGTACCGCAGCGGCTCCCAGCACCTCTGCAAGAAGTAAGCGGGGGGGGGATCCGGAGGGGGGAAGGAGTGAGGGGGGGCCTTTTGGCCTGCAGAACTCAAGGCAGTCGCCCTCCTTCCACCCCTCCCCCACTTCCTACTCTTCCTCCCCGTCCCCCAGGCTGAGAAAGCTGCCCAAGGCAGGATTAGAACTCATCCCCTCCTAGTGATTGGCCCAGAGTCACCCCAGCCAGCTTTGGTGCCTCAGGCGGGGACTATAACTCCCTGTCTCCCAGTTTCCACCTGCTCCCTCACCACTAGACCCAACTGCTCCCCCCTCCGTTCTCTTCCTTCCCTCCAAGCCTTCCCAGGGGTGGGGAGCCTCTCCCTGAGAGGAGCTGCCTTGAGGGGCTCCCCCCCCCCCAATTCCACACAGCCGTGGGAACGGCCGCCTCGGCCTCTCCTGGGCTCCTTCCCCCGAGACTGGGCTGTGCATCAGGGAGGGGGACACAGCCTCTGAGCAGGGTCTTCCCCTGCTCTCTCCCCCCACAATTCCCACTGGAGCCCTTTCACAAGGGTTCCTGGACAGCCCCCCCCAAAGAAGGTGGGGTGGGGTGCCGTGGCTGTGTAACTCCCTGCAAAAAACCGGCCAGGAGTCTGGAAGACTCTCAGAGGCAGGTACCAGGAGCAGCCCTGCGCCCGCCTGGAGTGGACTCAGTGGCCCATCTGCCCATCAGGCACTGCCTTCTAAGTCGGGGGCTGGAATTGAAAGATCCTGAGGCCGGGCCAGGCGCAGGGCGGCTCCTGCAGGGACCATCCAGGGCAAAGCAGGAGGGCAGGAGGTTACCTGCCCCCCCCGCCCCATGGAAAGCCAGCTCTGCCTCGTGAGCTGAAGGGCGGGGGGGGCGGGGGACACGGAGGGGCCTTTGAGCGCTGACTTTCTTTCTGCCTTTGCAGGGAGGAGATGTACTACAAAGCCGTACACAACACAGCGGTGCTGTTCCTGCAGAACAACGCGGGCTTCTCCAAGTGGGAGCCCACCCAGGAGCGCCTGCACGAGCTGCTCACCGCCTACAAGCACTCGGGGCGTGCCCAGGCTCCCCCCGCCGCCCCTTCGGCCTCCGACAAGGACCCGGAGCCGGTCCGGGAGCAGCAGAGCGCCAGCCGAGAGTCGACCCCCAACTGACGGGCAGACAGCTGAGAGGCCGAGAGGGACAGTCGGGCCGCTCCGAAGCAGCCGGAGGGGAGCGGCCGGGACCCAGGGCTGGCACTGACCGGCTGGCCTCCCTGTGGCCTTTGTGGCCCCCGGACGAGCTGCAGGCCTCCTCGGGCTGTGCCCGGCAGAGCGGGGCCGACTGCCTCCCCGAGGCAGTCTCCCCAGCCGGGGAGGAAGGGATGGCCGGGGAGCCTGCGGAAGTGGGGCTGGGCGGCCCCCTCCCACCTCAGAGCGTGGGGAGAGCAGTCGTGTAAATACGTCTCCCTCTGGTGGCTGCCCTCGCGGCCTCGTCCCCGTTCCTACCGAGCGTGCCCGTTGCGTATTCCCACTGGCGCTGTTTATTGTCCGTCGCAGAGCAGAGGACTCGCCTGTGTGTGTGTGCGTGTGTGTGTGTGTGTGAGCGTGAGCAGAAGGTCTCAGCGGCCCTTTGGTAGTTGTCTTGTTTCCACCGGAGGCTCCTGGCTTTCTAGGAGAGTTTTCGTTTTCGTTTCGTTTTTTAAAAGGGGTTAATTTAACTATGCTAACCATTTTATGACTTTTATTGAAAGAGCAAAGGGGGGGGAGAAAAAGTCTATTTTGGATTTTGTTTCTAGTTCTTAGGAACATTAAAAACCAGCATTATCACCTGCCCAGGCCTGCCGGCTGTTCTGTAAAGGGTCGGCTCGGGGACGGCCGTGACGAGGCTGGCGGGGTCCCTTCCGGCCGGATGTGCTGATGAGGTTGTTGGCCAGCTTGGATCACGTCCCTCTGGCCAGTTGACCTCGGGGTTCCTCCCCTCTGCCCTTGAGAAACCCCGTTTCCTTGTGGGGTCACCCCTCCCTATTTCCACGTATCCGCAGCCACGGTGCCTCTCCTGCCTCCAGCCATGGTTCCGTGGCTGGGGGAGCACAGGGGCACCTGGGGGGCAGGCACGAGGGTTCCTGGGGGGCTGAGTGGGCCTCTCCCTCGGTGGACTCCCCCTCCTGCGTGGCTGCCCGTCTTGCCCAGGGCTCCAGGGGAAGGAGCCCAGCCAGCGCCCAGCCAGTCATGACGCAAGGGCAGGGAGTCCTCGCCTTCACAACCAACAACTGAGCCCATAATTTCTGGTGCCAAGCGAGACGGCTGAGTGTTGCCCCATTTTACGTCTTCTCTTGCCATAGTTGTTAAGTGAATCACTGCAGCTCTTAAGTTAGTAACACGGCCGTTAAGTGGATCTAAGTTAGTAACGCTGCCATTAAGTGAATCTGGCTTCCCGATTGATTTGGCTTGTCAGAAGGTCGTACAAGGGAAATCGCACGTCTACGGGAGGCTGCCACTGTCGTAAATACGAACCAGTTGCCAAATATCTGAATTTTGATCACGTGACCCTGGGACATGCCACAACGGTCCTAAGTCACTTTTTTTCCAGTGCTGTTACAACTCCCAGCAGTCACTAAATGAGCGGTCATAAGCCGGGGGCCACCGGCCGCCACCTCTCCTGCAGTTTGCAGGCTTCTCTGCAGGGCTGGCCTGGAGGGTCCCTGCGGGGACAGGAGGCTGGCCTGGATGGACCTGTGAGGTGCCTCAGGCTCGGGCGTTTGGTGAGTGGAAGACCCTCACCCCACCCGAAAGCTGGGAAGGGTCTTCCACATGTTGACGAGTTGGCAAAGGTCCGCCAGGGGGAACTCCAAGGGGTGGGGGGGTCCCCTTTAGGTGGACTGCTGTGTAGTTGCATCCCCAGCCCTAGAGGTGTGCATAACACACCCTGTGCGCATCCTGCCTGGTGCTGGGTCCCGCTCCCCTGCCTTTCCCACGCCAGTTGAGCAAATCTGCCGGAGGAAGCCGACAAAGGCCCGGGTGGTGCTGCGCAGCCTCCAGGCGGCCTGTTGGCTCTGAAGCAGCGATTTCTGCAATAATAAAAAGTACTTAAAATGCAAGCAGCGTCTGACTGCAAAGGCGGAGGGGAAGCTGTGGCCTATCAAACTAATCCTGGCTGAAAATATTCTCCTAATTTAAGTGTGCGAAGGCCCTGAAGGCGCGGTGGAGGTTTCGTTTTGTTATTCGGGAAGGACAGAGCATCCAGGCGTTGCTAAAACCATTTGGCAAGATGTCAGTGTGTGAATTAGACCATCATCATCATCATCACGCAGTCCAAGCCCTGCTCAAGACCAGGATCCTCCAGGCTTCCCTGGTGAGTCATCTGATCCCCGTCTGGAAACGGCTGGAGGGAGAAAAAGGCCATCTCTGTCCCAGGCGGGTCTTATTTTGGGGGGCCTCCTTCCAAAATAACTGTCTGAATTCCAACATGGGGCTCCTTGACCTGCCCTCAGAGGATTTGCGCCTGCCACTCAGACAGATGTAGGCAGCTGCCACTCTTCCCTCCGGTCTTCTGCACCTTCTCCGGGATAAGCAAACTGCAAAGGCCAGAATGGGACGGTGTTGTTCCAGGTGCGGGTTAAGCCAGAAGAGCGGAATAGTTAACTCTGGTTTGGATGCAGTTTGCCTTTTTCAGCCGCTGGGGCGCCCTGCTTGCTTGGCACTGGGACTCTTTCCCACCCTACCCCACCCCACGTCCTCATGAAGCTGCTGGACCTTTTCACCTCTCAGCATCATCACCCTGCTGGATGTGGTCCTGTATCGTTAGCAGGAAGGTCCCAACGGCGCTTTTTTTTCCAAGAGGTGACTGGACTTTCCTGTTTTTCCTTGAAGACGTCTCGCTTCTCCTCCCAGAAGCTTCTTCAGGTTCTGACTGGATGGTGGGGAATGGAAGGATTTATACTCCTTTTGGAGAGTCCTTGAGGCCACCTGGAGGTGTACCTGTGTCTCCAGAGTCACCTGAGTGGTGCAAATGGGTGTGGAGCAAGAGAGTTTAGTGGCCTTGTGAAAAAGCATCTTTGGGATAGCTGACCTGGGTGGCCGAGAATCTCCATGGACAGTGACCATGGAGCCGGAGGGGTTTGCTGTGTCACGTGTCAGGGCGAACCCATTTCTTTCGTTTGGTGTCATCCACAAACTGAACGAATGAACGCTCCTCCTGTCCTCTTTACTTGTTTATTTAAGTGTTTAAAGACGAGGGCTGAAGACCCCCCAACACACACACACACACACCCCTTCTCCTCCGGGCAGCCGTCCAGTTGCAAACCCATCAGATGGCAGGAACGTCCAGCCCCATCTCTGCTCTGGGCCAAAAGGGTGAAGGACGGATCTTGTCAAGCACCCCGACAAGACGGAGGAGGGAAGCTGCGCCCCCCACCCGTCTCTCGCCTGCCATAAGAGGCGGGTCGGGCACGGCCGGTTCCGTCGCCGCCCTAGCCCCGAAGTCCCGCCAGCGCTCTGCGGTTCTTAGCCGTCTTCGGCCGCTGGGCCGCTGCCCGGGCTGCTCCTTCATTCCGGGGGGCTTCCAAGACCCCCCATCCACCCCCGGGGCGTCTGGAACCCCGACAGCCTCCCCGGAGTCTCCCGTTTAAGGGCAGCCCGGAGATGCGGCGAGGCCACAGGGGGAGAAGCGGGTCGGGGCGAAATGTTCCCGCAGGGGCGGCCGACCGGGGCTGCGGGGAGGGGGCCGCCTCGGAAGCCCCGCGGTCGTTGTAAGAAGCGGTTCCACGCCGAGCGCCTGAAAGGAGCCAGGTGGATCGGGCCCCTTTCAGCCGCTGCGCCCCCTGCGCGGGGCCGGGCCGGGCCGGGCGAAGGTCCCTGGGCCCGAGGACCCCCATCCCGCATCCGGGACCCCCGAGGGAGGGAAGCGGGGGAGGGCGGCCCGGCGGGCTCGGGGCGGGGGGGCAGAGGGGCCGGGCGAGCGTCGCCCACACCCTGCTCGGTCTGCGTCGCCATGGCAACGGGGAGGCGGATGCCCGGGGCCCGGGAGCGCCCAGCTGGCGCTGCGGCAGTCCCTGCGAGGCGGGCGGCCGGGCGGGCGGGTCTCTCCGCGCCTGCAGCGAGGTAAGCCGGCAGGAGGCAGACCCGGCCCGGGGGGTCCCTGCGGCCCGAGGGAGGGAGAGAGCGGGGGGGGGGGCGCTGCGGTCTTTCAAGGCGAGGCTCCTCCCACGTGGCCTTGGGCAGCCCCTTGCCCCCCCCCCCGGCCGCCTGGCTGCGCCCGAGGGCTAAGCGGGGGAGGGTCTCCCGGGCGAGGAAGGGGCTGCGGGGGCTGAGCAGCTGCAGGCGGCGCTGAGGCTGCCCAGGGAGCCCCATCGGAGGCCGGCCTCGCTTCCTTCCAGGGCCGAGTCTGAGCCTCCTCCTTTCCTGCAATGCGGGGCGTGGGGACGGGGGTCGCGGGGGCTGGCCGGGCTCCAGGGACCCCGAGGTTGTCTGCCCCAGAGTCGCTCCCTTCCCCGGGGAGGGGGCTGGGCTGGCTCCGGGTGCCCAGGGCCGCCGGGTCCCGGAGCGGGGGGACGCCTAAGGACCGGTTGCTGTGTGGGCGCGGGTTGGGGACGGGGGGGGGGGCGTCGCGGAGCAGCCGGGCTGTCGGTCGAGGCGGCTCCGGTGCCCCGGGACTCCCAGGCAGGGCCCTCCTTGGCGCCGCTCCTCACGCCCTGCCGCTTTCCGTCCCTCCAGGCGCCGGGCCCTGCGGGGCTGCCATGGCCCCGGCGAAGGTCGGGGGCGAGCGGGCCGCGCCCCTCGGCTGGGCGGCCGCCGAGACGGAGTGCGGCATCTGCTGCGAGGGCTTCGACGGGCGCGCCCGGCGGCCCAAGCTGCTCGGCTGCCGCCACCAGGTGTGCGCCCGCTGCCTGCGCCGGATGGCCGAGGCGGGCCGCTCCCCCGCCGGGCTGCGCTGCCCCTTCTGCCGGCAGGAGACGCCGGTGCCGGGCGAGGACGTGGCGCGCCTGCCGGACGACGGGCGGGTGCTGGCGCTGCTCGGCCACCCAGGCGGCCCGCCGCCCTCCCCGGAGCTGCTGCTCTGCCCCGGCGTGCTGGAGCCCTCGGCCGACGGCAAGCGCCGCTCCTCGGACTGCCTGGTCATCACCCTGCTGGAGGTGCCGGAGGACGCGGCCGCCCCCGCGGGGCTGGACCTGGTGGACGTGATGCGCTTCTACCGCCCGCCCAGCCTGGCCTCCTTGCCCTGCCGCGGCCCGCAGCCCCTCTGCCCTGGCTCCTGGGGGCCCCGGCGCGCCGTGCCCCGGTTCGTGCTGGGCCTGCTGGGCCTGGTCTACTTCAGCTCCCTGCCCTTAGGCATCTACCTGCTGCTGGTGGAGCGGCCCAACCTGGGCCTGGTGCTGGTCAGCCTGGTGCCCTCCAGCCTCCTGCTCTGCGTCTTCTACAGCCTCTGCCAGTGCCTCTGCCAGGACCTCTTTGACCTCCCCACCTGAGTTGCCTGGGGAGGCTGCCCCCCCTGCGCTCCCTGCCCTTGCGCAGACCCCCCCTCTGGCCCCAGGGGGGGGCTTTTCACAGCAGCAGCAGCGGGCGGGGTGGCTTCCCTCCAGCAGCCTCAGTTCCATGACGGTCGTGACCCGGAGGGCAGAGATGCCGATGGCGCCCTTGCCAAAAAAAGCCCCCAGCGCCCCACTTTCTGCCGTGAGGGTGTGTTTGTCACCAGGAACAGTTTGGGGCCTCTGATGGAAAACTGCCCAGGGACTCAAGTCCTGTGAACCTGCAGGCCAAGAAGAGCCTCTGAAGCAACCCCACGGGAACCATTCCTTACAGCAGAAATTGGACCTCAATGCGTAGTGGCAGTGTACCTGACGACTGCAGCCCGTATTGCAAAGTAGGTCCTTTACTTTCAGTATTATGGAGAGTTTGGCTGGAAATTTTGGGAAACGCTGGAGCTGGCAGCTGGGAGGCCAAGTCCCCGGTCTGGATGAAGGCTTCCCTGGAGGGAAGGGGGGGTGGAGGATGAGGAAGAGGCCCCAGGAAAAGAGGCCTGAGGAGCAGGAACAGCCCAACCCCGATGAGAAAGCAGGGGACAGCGTAAGGTCCTGCCTCAACTCCTCCTCCCAAGAAAGCAGAACTCTTGAAACAGGCATTATTTCAAAAGGAGCTTTTGTTGAGAGAGAGTGATAGCAAGGGAGCAAAGCAAGATCTAAAGTTTTCCCGCGCAAATTGCTACATTAAACCCACCCCAGAGCCCAACTGTCCAGTTCGCATCCAGCCAATCGACAGGTGCAAAGTTGCTATGGGAACCGAAGCAGATAAGGGACGGTCCCCAGACGCTTCACCGGATCTGACAACGGAGTGGAGATAAGGCAGATGTCCCCTGACACGTTCCTTTCCCCTTTTCACACCCAAAGAGATACACCAAAGTTCAGAAAAAACAAAGTAGAGGAAATAAATCCACAAGGCCCCCTCGCAGCAGAGAAAAGCCTCCCCCCTTCCACTGGAACGGCAGAGCCCCCAAAAGAAATACTGAAGGGGTGTAGTAGTGCCGGGCAGGAATACCTGAGCAGGAGCAGGTGAGGCTCCGTCTGTCTCTCCTGGCAGGCCTTCCCAGCTCCTGTGCACCCTTCGCACGCAGACCCCGACCTCCCTTCCTTCCCCAGAGGTTGTGCCAGGCTGGGTGCCCAGACCGGCCATGGGCAAGTTCTTGTGCCAGGATCCTCCGGAGAGTGCTGGGTGCCCCTGTTGCTAAATGAAGGGCCCCGGAAGGAAAGTGGGGGTGCCAGAGGCCATCCAAAAGTCACCTGGGGATTCAGCCCAAGGCTCTGCATCTTTCCTGGAACAACCCCCCCCCCCCTCTCAATTTGTCTGGCTTCTTTCCTCCTGCGGGAGAAGGTGGGTGCTCCCTTTTTTTTCTGGCTGAGGACTCAGCCCCTCCCCCAAAATCCCATGTTCCAGCATCTCCCCCCTCGATTCAGGGCCTCCAACACTGCCGAGGCTGATCAAGCCACTGAACTCCAGGGTCAGAAGGGACTGTTGAGGCCATCCAGGCCATCCTCACTCAATGCAGGGAGGCATCCCAGAGGCAAAAGACATAGCAAAGGGCAGCCCTTCTCCCCCCCCCCCCCAGTCTGGGCTCCATTGTCCCTCTGCGGAAACTCTTCAGGGCCTGAATTCTATTCTATTCTGTTCTGTTCTGTTCTGTTCTGTCCTGTCCTGTCCTATCCTGTTCTGTCCTGTTCTATTCTACTCTTAATTCTGTTCTGTTCTGTTCTATTCTATTCTATTCTACTCTAATTCTATTCTAATTCTATTCTAATTCTATTCTAATTCTAATTCTATTCTAATTCTAATTCTATTCTGTCCCTTTATTCTATTCTATTCTATTCTATTCTAATTCTACTGTTTTGTTCTATTCTATTCTACTCTAATTCTATTCTAATTCTAATTCTATTCTGTCCCTTTATTCTATTCTATTCTATTCTATTCTATTCTATTCTATTCTATTCTATTCTATTCTATTCTAATTCTACTGTTTTGTTCTATTCTATTCTACTCTAATTCTATTCTAATTCTAAATCTATTCTGTCCCTTTATTCTATTCTATTCTATTCTATTCTATTCTATTCTATTCTATTCTATTCTATTCTATTCTATTCTCATCAAGAGAATCCACCCGGAGCTTCTTACTCAAGGCACCAGGCTCAAACAGTCTTACTTCTAGAGGAGGCTCCAGTCCAGGGAAAAGAAAGAGAAGAGGGGGGCCAGCAGCAAGCGGGGTGCGGGGTGTGTGTGTGAACTCAGCCCTGATGGGGGCCCCCTCAGCAGACCTGAAGGCCCAGGTGGTGGACTCAGCAGATGGAGAGGCTCTGCCTGTGTGGTTGCTATGGGTAACACTGACATACGGGCAGGTATCAATCAAATGTTTGAAAAAACAAAGGCGGGCCTATTTAGAACAGCCCTTAAAAGGATCACTTCCTATAACATTAATTGTTCTGTCGGTGATAATTCTCAGCCTTTCACCATTAACGTGATGATTCACACGTGAGATAATTCTCATATTTTATTGAATCTAGAGTATTATTTTTTTTTTGATGTTTTGGTATGGTACATCCGGCAATAAAACAATTGATATCATTCCTTATGATGCATCAGTTTATAAATTCGGGGGTGGGGGCAGGGCAATAGAGTCACCTTAGAATTAATAAATCAATTAATTGTTAAATGTTGCTATGTCATTTCTCCACTTTCCTGAAAGACCTTCAACCAAAGTTGGGGGGGGGGGGGAATAAAGGGAAGCTGCCAACATCTACGATACCAACTATGTGTGCAATTTCACCAAGACAATTGAGAAAGACTTTGATTAATACGCGCACACGGACTTCAAAGAAAAGCTGTTGTGTTTCATTTATTTAATTGTTCCTATATCCAATTTAGAAATGGCCCATCTCACTCACAGAGCAAGCTTGGGCGGTGTAGGATTAAAACAAGTAAAACATAAAAACTGTATACAAATATTATATCAGGAGGTAATGTTAAGAGTTTCGTACAATATTGAGGAGAGTCCTTTAAAATTTTGTGGGTTCTCTACAATATTGTTACGTTCTTGCTTGGCAATATCTGATATAATTCAGAATAAACATTTGCAGAAAGCTCATTTGACGGATTTGGAACATCCCTTCGGTTTGAGAGAGGCTTCAAATTAATCACCCACATCCCCACCCCACTAATCCTTTTACTAATCAGATTATCTACAGATAGTCCTTGACTTATAACTGTTTGTTTAGTGACCATTCAAAGTTACGGCACTGAAAAAAGTGACTGATGACCGTTTTTCACACTTAGCGACGGTTGCAGCCTCCTTCAGGGTCACGTGATCAAAATTCAGACGCTGGGCAACCGGTTCATACTTACGACCGTTGCAGTGTGTCCCGGGGGGATCACATGATCCCCGTCTGAGGCCTTCTGACAGGCAAAGTCAATGGGGGGAAGCCAGATTCACTCTTAACAACCGGGTTACTAAACAACTGCAGTGATTCGTTTAACAACTGTGACAAGAAAGGTCGTAAAATGGGACAAAACTCACTTAACAATGGTCTTGCTTAAAACAGAAATTTTCAGCTCAGTTGTGGCTATAAATCGAGTCCTGACCTGGGAAGTCACACAGGAAATTCCACTTAATGACAGCAGTTGGGAGTGGAATTTCCATCACTGAGGTGGTTGCAAAGCACAATGCCAGGTCATTAAACAAGGACCCCACACGCCTGTGACCTGTGACTTCCTGCCAGCTTCCCATGAGCTCTGGACCCCCTTGGACCCCCTCCCTGTCTGGAGGACGGTCGTCCCCTCGCTCTGCTTGCCCCAGGAGAGGAAGGGCCCCTGGCTCACCCAAGCGCCACCCAGGGCCCCAGAGGGCTGCCCGCTGGGCCCATCCCGGGGCTGCCCTCCGTGCCCGTGTGGAGAAGGGCCCCTGCCGCACACTCCCCCCTGCTGGCCCTGGCTCTCCCCAGCCTGGCACACTCCAGATGTGCGGAGCCATAGGTCTGCACGACCAGCTGACACGCCAGCTGAGTGTCCTGGGGGTTGTAGTCCACCTCCAGGGCGCACCAGCCGGGAGAGGGCAGAGCAATGCCTCTTTCAGCCCCGCTCGACTCCTCAGGGGGCCCCCAGGGCTCGGAGCCCAGGGGTGGCCCCTCTCCCCGCCCCTCCCCGGGGGCACAGCTGGGGTGTTCCCGGAGGCCAGAGGACCGGCTTCTCAGGGGACGGAGGCCCCACACCCACTGGGGAGGCCTCCCAGGCAGGAGGCGAGGGGCTGGCTCGGCCATGCTCCACAGCCGGGGCTCAGGAGGGACCCTCGCTGGCTCAGCCCGGTCGAGAGAGGCGAGGGAGTCTGGGTCTCGTCCGGGATCTCCAACCCTGGAGTTTCCCCAGGGGGCCTGGGGGCTCCTGCCTGAGTCTGCCCGCTGGCCTCCAGGCTGCCCCTTCTTCTCCTCCTCCTCTTCCTCCTCTTCTTCCTCTTCCTCACCCGAAGCCGTGAGCAGCCGAGGGCCGCTGCGCAGCCGGTTCTCCTTCTTGAGGCGCCGGCGGGCGTTGGCAAACCAGGTGGAGACCTGGCTGAGACTGCGCTGGCTCAGCATGGCCAGCAGGATCTTCTCCCCCTTGCTGGGGTAGGGGTTCTGGAGATGCTGGCCCAGCCACGTCCGGAGGGCCCCCGTGCTCTCCCGCCAGACGGCGGCCTTGCCCCAGCGTGGATCCTCCGGGGGGGCCGTGCAGAGGAGGGGGCTGCCCAGGGGGGGCATCGGCCACAGCAGGGGCACCCCTCCAGGCAGCTCGCAACAGGGGGCTGGCACCTGCAACACAGAAAGCGGAACGAGGGTGAGCCCTGGGCGGCCCTGGCAGCCTCCCTGGCCCAGGCCGAAGGCCTCTTCGCTGCCTTTGCTCCACCGGACCCTGAGAAGCATTTTGCCCCCCCCCCCAGAAGATGAGAAGGGCAGTC